CCCTAAAACCAGACCTACCCTCCCTAAATGTGACCGAACACCCCTCAAACCTCTCCCCGGGTGAGCCCGAGCCCCCCCCAAGCCCTGTGTGCCCCAGGTCGGACCTTCTCGATGAGCGTCACGAACTGGTTGTTGAGCGCTTTGATCTCGTCCTTCTCCTGCCGCCGCAGCTCCTGCAATTCCGGCTCCACGTCCAGGCTCGGGGGGGGGGCTCGGAGCGGCCCGGCCGTGCCCAGGGGGGTCCGGGGGGGACCCTCGGGGGTCGCCGCCCCGTCGGGACCCGCGGCCCGACCCCGGCTCATGCCCCGAGCCGAGCTCAGGGAGCCGCCGGCGAAGGCTGAGCTCGGGTTCGTCATGAGCCGGGATGCGGCTCCTGCCCGGGGACGGCACGGAAAGGGGGGGGGAAAAAAAGGGGAAAACAAACCAAGCGAGGGATGGATTTGGGAAGGGAGCGGCGGAGCGGAGGGTGGGAGTTGCGGCGGGCGGGGAGGGAATTCCAGCGGCGGGAGGTGCCCTGGGCCGGGCAGGGCGGGCCCGCTGATGTCAGCCCGGAGACAGCGCCGGCTCCCGGGATGAGCTCCGGCTCCCTCCCCGGCCCTTCCCTCCTTCCCTCGGCAGCTCCCCTGGAATGCGGAGGCACCGGCAGCTCCTGCTCCCTCACCGGCCCTTCCTTTTCCCCGTTCCTGGGTCCTTCTCCCAGTCCCTGTGTCCTCCGGTTCCAATCCTGAGTCTTTTTCCAGTCCCTGTGTCCTCCTGTTCCAGTCCTGGGTCTTTTTCCCAGTCCCTGTGTCCTCCTTTTCCAATCCTGTGTCCTTCTCCAGTCCCTGTGTCCTCGTGTTCCAATCCTGGGTCTTTTTCCCAGTCCCTGTGTCCTCCTGTTCCAATCCGGGGTCTTTTTCCAGCTCCTGTGTCCTCCTGTTCCAATCCTGGGTCCTTTTCCCAGTCCCTGCGTCCTTCTCCAGTCACTGCATCCTCCTTCTCTGAAACCAGCCCTAACATCCCTAAATCCAGATTTATCCTCCCCAAAACCAGCCCTATCATCCCTAAATCCACACCTATCATCCCTAAATCGAGATTTATTCTCCCCAAAACCAGCCCTATCTTCCCCAAAACCAGCCCTAACATCCCCAAATCCAGATTTATCCTCCCTAAAACCAGACCTATCATCCCTAAAACCAGCCCTATCATCCCTAAATCCAGACCTATCCTCCCTAAAACCAGCCCTAACATCCCTAAATCCAGATTTATCCTCCCCAGAAGCAGCCCTATCCTCCCTAAATCCAGACCTATCCTCCCTAAAACCAGCCCTATCCTCCCCAAACGCCCGGGGGTGGAATCCCGACCATCCCCGGGTGCCGAGCGATCCCCGGATCTCCTGCTCTGGATCTGCCCCTGGAGCTGCTGTGGGGCCGGTTGGGAGGCCGAGCTTTGGACGCGGTTTAAGGGTCACTTAAACCACCCCGGGGAGCCTCGGAGGGGCTTCAACCTCAGCAGCCAAACCTGGGGGGGGTCCTGTGCCCCTTCCCTGGGCGGCTGGAGAGGGATCCCCTCCCTGGAAACTGCCCTTTGTGGGGTTATTTGTGCTCGGAGAGGGCAAGAATTCATTTATTATTAATTAGCGGGGCTCCCTAATTGCTGTTCATTAAGTCTGGGGCACAAACAGCGACTCGGCGGCTGCTGCGGGGACGGACCCTGAGCCGGAGCTGAGCGAGCTCGGCACTAACGAGAGGGGCAGCCGGGTTTAGTTAATCCTGGCCTGCCGCGGGGATCCTGAGAGGGGCAGCCGGGTTTAGCTAATCCTCGCCTGCCGCGGGGACCCTGAGCCGGAGCTGAGGGAGTTCGGCACTAACGAGAGGGACAGCCAGGTTTAGTTAATCCTCTCCTGCCTCGGGGATCCTCAGAGGAGCAGCCGGGTTTAGTTAATCCTGGCCCGCCGCGGGACCCTGAGCCAGAGCTGAAGGAGTTCGGCGCTAACGAGAGGATCAGCCGGGTTTAGTTAATCCTCGCCTGCCGCGGGGGGTGAGGAGTGTCCGAGTGACACATGGTGCGGGAGCGGCCGAGCCCAGCCGGGATCAGCCCGCTCGGGGTCAGCCCAGGTTTAACAAAACCCGAGGGGCGGCTTTGCCCGGTGCGAGGTTCGGGTTGTTCCCGGCGGGGAGGGGTCTGTGCTGCTCCTTCCGGGGGGTCCCAGCGCTGGGACAATCCCAGTCTGGGGTTGGGGGGCTGCAGATCCTCAGTCCTGCCCAGTTTGGGGCTGCAGAGACCCCCTTCCCTCAGCCCTGCCCAGTCTGGAGATGCAGAGAACCCCTTTCCTTCAGCCCTGCCCAGTTTGGGGCTGCAGAGACCCCCAATCTTCAGTCCTGCCCAGTTTGGGATTGGGGGGCTGCAGAGACCCCCTTCCCTCAGCTCTGCCCAGTTTGGGGCTGCACAGACCTCCAGTCTTCAGTCCTGCTCCAGTTTGGAGTTGCAGAGACCCCTTTCCTTCATCTCTGCTCCAGTTTGGAGCTGCAGAGGCCCCCAGTCTTCAATCCTGCCCAGTGTGGGACTGGGGGGCTGCAGACCTTCAGCCCTGCCCAGTTTGGAGCTGCAGAGACCCCCAATCTTCAGCCCTGCCCAGTTTGGGACTGGGGAGCTGCAGAGACCCCCTTCCCTCAGCCCTGCCCGGTTTGGGATTGGGGGGTGGGCCAGCAGGGCCAGGCCAGTGACTGTGGGGGGGATCCAGGGATACTGGGAGGGGATCAAGGGATCCCTTGGAGTGCCCCTGCCCAGCCCCGGGACAGCGGGGGGGAGTCCCGGGGGGGACACGGGGTGGGGGGACACTGCAGGGATGTGCACGGGGGGGACACTGCAGGGACAGGGGGTGGGACAGAGGATGGGACACTGCAGGGACAATGGGGGGACACTGCAGGGACAGGGGATGGGCACGGGGGGGACACTGCAGGGCCGGGGGTGGTCCCAGGCGAGAATTCCAGCCCGGCCTGGGGGGCTTTGTGGGCCCTGGCCGGGGGGGTTGGTTGGGGGGAGCTCGGCAGCCCTTCCTGAGCTCCTCCCCATCCCTGCTCCTTCTCCCTGTCGCTTTTCCCTTTTCCCTTCCCATTTATCTCTTCTCCCTTCCCATTTATCCCTTCTCCCCTCTCGCTTATTCCTCCTCTTTCATTTCTCCCTTGTCCCCTCTCACTGATTTCTTCTCTCACTTCTCCCTTCTCCCTCCTCATTTCTTCTCTTTTTCTTTTCTCCCTCCTCACTTATTCCTTTTCCCCCTCCCTTTTTCCATCTCCCTCTCCCTTATTCCACCTCCCCTTTCACTTTTCCCTTCTCCCTTCTCATTCTTTCCTTCTCCCCCCCCCCCATTTGTCCCTTTTCCCTCTCACTTCTCCCTTCTTGCTTTTCCCTTCTCCCCTCTCACTTCTCCCTTCCCTCCCTTACTTTTCCCTTTTCCCTCTCACTTTTCCCTTCTCCCCTCTCACTTCTCCCTTCTTTCCAGGCTCATCCCCCCCTCCCGGTGTCCCATTTCCACTCCCGCCTCCCCTTTTCCTTCATTTCGGCGCCCGCTCGGACCCGCCACCTCCCGCTCCTCCTCCGGCCCCTTCCCCGCTTCATTTTGGGATCCCAAATCAACCCTCTTTTGGGATCCCAAATCAACCCCTTTGGGATTTCTGGGGGAAACGACGCGAAGCCGAAACTCTGCCCCGAGCGCGACGTCACCGCCGAGGAATTCCCCGCCGGCTTTGGGAGCTTCGGGAGTTTTGGGAGCTTCGGGAGGCAGGACGGGACGTGCCCGCAGCTGCTCCGCTCCCAGGAGCGTTCCCAGCTCCCGCGGCTTCCAGGAAAATTCAGGGATTGAGAAGAAAAACACCTAAAAAGGATTGAAAGGGGTGGTGATGTCACTAATTCCCGCTGGGATGGTGCCGATTGTCCCCTTCCCGCCCTCGGGTGATCCCGTGGGATGAGGGGAGGGAGCTGAGGGTGCTGGATCTGCCCCAGCACCGGCTCCCAGATGGAATCCTGGAATCCTGGGATAGAAGCGTGGAATGGGTTGGGTGGGAAGGGGCGTTAAAAATCATCCAGTGCCACCCCCCTGCCACGGGCAGGGACAGCTCTCACCATCCCAGGGGGATCCAACCTGGCCTGGGACACTCCCAGGGATCCAGGGGCAGCCACAGCTTCTCTGGGAAACCCATCCCAGGGCCTCCCCACCCTCCCAGACAGGAATTCCTTCCCAATATCCCACCTAAATCCCCCCTTTCCCAGTGGGAAGCCATTCCCTGTGTGCTGTCCCTCCA